CGAAGTGAATGTAATGGGAAAATGGAATAGTACTATGGTGTAGCACCGAACTACAACCGTACCAATTACCTTAAGTCTAGGTAGTACTTCCAAGTACTGTAGTATTTGTAATAAATAACGACATCGGTACTCAACTGCCATATTTGAGGGATAAGGTATAATGTGATGTCTAGATCCCAGACTATACGCTCCCCTATCAAAGGGATTTTGGGACCTACCCATGACCCCTGCATGTATGCAAGCCATAAGCATCCACATTACTATGCTCATGTATACTCGATATAACGATCACAATTGCATTGTGATTCATCGGTATAGATAGATCTTGAACTGGTTCCATGCTATAGCACCTAGTGATGTCTGTTCTATGTATATGTAAGTGTGATCATGTAAGTGATCATGTAGTTCTTCTCATGTAAGTGTGATCATGTAAGTGATAATGTAAACATATCTATGTAATAGTATAGTAATGTACTGTAATGTTCCACGTGTGCTAGCTGTAAAGTGTGATCTCTCTCTATCTAGCATGTATAATAATGTACTCGTTCTAGTATCGTTGTATATGTTCTTCTCTAGTATAGTTGTATATGTTCTTCTCTAGTATAGTTGTATATGTTCCTCTCTAGTATAGTTGTATATGTTCCTCTCTAGTATTGTTGTATATGTTCTCATAGTAGTAAGCATTGAGTCATGAATGAACTGACTCATAGTATGATATTGTGTTCTAGTAATAGTTCTAGTATCTTCCTAAACTACCCCTATGGTAGTTTACTAGTAATGTAACTGGTATGTATGGACATGGATGTATACCCTTGATACCCAAGGGTATTGATTGAACTGGAAGAACCTTTATGACTACATATGTACACATGATATATAACTAATATTTAAACGACCTTCGGACGGGTACCCTATATCCCACTAGACCACATCTCAAGCGCGAAAAGGAAATAGGGTGGATAGCCTTCCTAAGTCTTTTAAACATTACTCATATAAATATACATATATAGGCATGCAATTTATAATATAAAATCATAAAGTAAGTTTTGTAAAACCTTTGAACATAATTATTATCTTAAGAAAAGATCGAATTGATGTCAATCTATAAAACAATTTGAAGGCATGGGTTTGATAAAACAGTTTAGTATAAAGAAACATTTGTTTGAAACACAATTGTAAATATGTTTGAAAGGTAATATACAGAGTGAAATGTACAGTGTAATAAAGAGTTTAAAACATATAAAATGTTTATAAAAATCATTTGAAGAAAACTGTTTGGTAAGACGGCTGATGTGTAGTAAATCATTTGAATGTTACATATTAATCACATGTGATTGATATAATAACTAGCATAATTCTACTTATTAATCACATGTGATTGATATAATAACTAGTATGATTCTACTTGTATCCCCCCATAAAACATTTAAAAGTAGTTTAAAACATTATTTAAGGGGTATGAACTCACCTGCAGTAAGTGATTCGAATTGAACTGACTGTTATCGTAAGGAAGGATCGGACAAGTGCTTGGTGTCTAGTGAAGACTTTAGACACACACAATGATCCTAATTACATATGAAGACATATGTATATAAATAATTAGTGATTAAAACACTAATTATACAAGTATAAACATTTAAACGCGAGGAAAACACTTTTGGTCAAGTGCTAGGAGGCTAATGGGTTGCAACAAAGGAGTGTAATACCTCAAATGGGAGTTTAAGGTCTAATGACCATATTCTTTGGAGTTTACGGCCCAGGGGAGTAAACTCTTGGCCGTAAACTCTACATTGGGTCATTAATTGAGGCTTAAAGTTGTTACAACTCAAGTGGTAAATTGCTCCAAGGTTTAAACAAGTGTTTGGGTGTCATATTAACTCCTTTAAGGAGTTTACGACCGTAAACTCCCTTGGGAGGGTGGTTATGGTGTTTTCAAGTCTCAAACATTTCTAGGTAATGATCTATGTTGGGTTCTAGGCATAAGGAAGGAGTTAAGGTGTCATTTGACCCCTTTATAGGTGTTTACGGCCCAAGAACTTGTCTTGGCCGTAAACTCCTTAAAACATGTGATTCCTTATGTTTTTTAGGCTATAAACACTTTAGGGTACTTATCCTTATTTAAGTCTAAGCCTTAGGAAGTGTTTCAAAGCATTTTGGCACCTAAACATGGCGTTCACGGCCAAAGAAGGTCCTTGGCTGTGAACTCATTTTCATCGTTGTTTCTAAATGATTTTGGTGTCCTAAATATGAAATGAAGGCTTCTAGTTCGAGTTCTAAAGCTTTGAGGGACATTGGGACACTTTTAGCCCTTAAAATGGATTTTACTCTCCAAGTGTTCTTGGGCGGTAAACTCCCAAATCTTGGGGTTTTGGTCCGATTTGATGTTATAATACCCAATCTAAGCTATATAATATAACTAGATCGTAGTACTCACAAATTGGGATAAAAACCTGAAGATCCGTGAGAGAGAATTTTGGCTTTTCTCTAATTGGAAATGTAACTAATGAACTATTTGGTTCAGTTTTCTATATATACTCTTGGGATTTTTGGCAGAAAATATTTTATTCCCGGAATGAACTCTAATGTCATAGAGTATTGGAATAACAGTGTTGTATAAAACCCTAGTGCATCCACTCTCCTAATATCTCCTTAAGTGTTAACCCTAAAAACTGCCAAACTTATACTTGAAGTCTGAATTTTCACTGTAACTGTTCTACTTCTATTGGCTTCAAATGGTTTGTTCAGAATGGAAATTTTGGGTTGTCACATTGAATCAGACTCCACCGACTCAAACAACTCTAGGTAGTGCTCCCTCAGCTCATCCTCCGACTCGTAAGTTCACTCTAAATCCTTACGGTGTAGCCACTGCACCTTCACTAGCTCCACAACCTTGTTCCTAAAGGTTTTCTTCCTTCGATCTAAAATTGCCATCGGTCTCTCAATATAATTCAGATGCTCATCTACCTGAATATCCTCCAAAGGTACAATTACAGAATCATGCACTAAACACATTCATAGCTGAAAGACATGAAATGTGCTATGAATCTGATTGATCTCGGCTGGAAGATTACGACGATATGCAATCGACCCAACCGAGACAAAACCCTGAAGGGACCAATATACATGGGGCCTAGTTTCTCCCGCTTCCTGAATCGGGCACCACCTTTCAAAAGGGACGCCTTTAGGAGAACCATATCTCCCACCTGGAACACCAATTCTAAATGACATCTGTCAGCGTAACATTTCTACCGACTTTGAGCTGTCTGAAGCCTGCTCCAAACCT